CCCAACAGAAATGTTGCAGGTGTGAGATGAAGGTTTTGGGGACTGAAGCAGGAAGTCAACATCATCATCACATTTGTTTCAGATCAGTCCAAACCGAACAGAATCTGTAGGGATATGAACCCAGATCTCTGGAGATACTCCAGTGCTGCTGAGCTCTGATGTGTATTAAATAAAAACTAAGAAAAACTGTAATTAATCATGATGACATGGCCTGACACCAGAGATGACATTACAGTGTGATCAGATGAACCTGCCAAATGGAGAAAACATCATAAACTGAGTTTCGGATTAACAATGGCGTTATTTCTCAGGAGATGAAATAAAGATGTGTGTGAAAATAAACCCAAATCTCCTGTTGATGTTAAAAGCAGCTCTGAGAGGAACTGGCTGGACAAAGATGGGATCTTCTTTTAAATTCTCCTTTCCTCTGGGGACCCTGAGAGGAACCTGAAGTGCCTGCCAGTAACCTTCATACAGCACCTCCGTATGGAGATCCATGGCAGTAAAAACAGGCTCATTTATCGTACATTCATGATTTAGACTACTGCTCCAACTGACATCCTTTGTTGCTATGACAACTGTCATGGTAACCAGAAAATCTTTAAGCAAAATATATTTTTTTACTATGTCTGAATACTTGAGTAAGTACTGATACTTAATATTGAGGCAAATTCAGCCAACAGCAGTTTTGGAAATGCCGACATAGATACGTAACAACAGCAACAAAGAATTATGTTGGAATGATTTTATTTCCTTATTTTACCGGACCCTGATGAAGGCCACAAGCCGAAATGTATTAGTCTGATATTAAAGTTCTTTTTCAAGTGTAACTAGAATTTTTAACTTTTTATCCTTCTCTGTGCATCTACAAATGTATGTGGCCGACACAGTTTCAGACCGGAGGACGAGCTCAAATTAAAGCCTGATATGAATATTTGACTGTTTAATAACAATATGAGTCAAAAAGAAGATTTACCCTGCAGACTAAGTGGCCTAGGAACTTGAACTTGAAGTATATGGTGAAACAACCACTCAAATATCTTCAATCGTCATTCCTGTGCCGCGCCAATATCATATCTGTGGAATCGGTCTGGCTCAGTTGTAGAACAGATATAATACCAACATCAGGACTCTGTATTCGGTCTCAGTCTCCCTCTCTTCATTTCTTGTCTCTCTCTCCTTCAGCCTGCAAGTCTGCCAACATCGATCTGGTGCTTCTGATTGACGGCTCCAAAAGTGTCCGCCCTCAGAATTTTGAGCTGGTCAAAAAGTTTGTTAACCAGGTGAGGTGCAGGTTTTCATTTAAATAACTTCAGTATTTTAATACCAATGTGTGTTACACTGCCTAAAAAAATTAACAAATTCAAAACTAAAATTATACATCTGTGAAAATAATCAAATTTCACACAGACCTGCCACCAGTGAATCTGTTCACTGAACTGTTCCAAAATCAGGGTAATCCAATTGTATAACAGTAACAGATCCAGCAACAAAAAGACAAAATCTGCTGAAATGTAGGCGTTTGGGCACAATAAACATAAAAATAGATTTATGGATCTGTGCCTTGTGTCTCCTGCAACTGTGCCTGATGAGTATCCCTCACCTCCTCCTGTGCTCCAGGTTGTGGACTCTCTGGACGTGTCTGCTCATGGCACCAGAGTCGGTCTGGTTCAGTACTCGAGCCGGGTCAGGACGGAGTTCCCTCTCAACATGTACCACACTGCTGACGAGATCAAAGCTGCAGTCATGAAGGTAAAGCTGTTGTTTTCTGTCAGTTTATAATCCTTTATGTTCTATTACCAGATGCATCACCAACTACTGTAAATAAAGTGTTATAAGTGTTAAAAATAAAGACAATAAATGATGTCAGGCCTAAATTCATTTTGTAACAAATAGCTTCACCCAGAGGTGAACAGATAGACAGCATTATCATTTTAATGGACCCACACTGGTAGATAAATTGAGACAATGCAATGATTCCAGTGTTGTTACTGTGCTTGTCCAGGTTGAATACATGGAGAAAGGCACTATGACAGGTCTGGCCCTTAAACACATGGTGGAGAACAGCTTCTCAGAGGCAGAGGGCGCTCGTCCAGCCAGCCGCAACATCCCCCGAATTGGACTGGTGTTCACAGACGGACGCTCCCAGGACGACATCACAGAGTTTGCCAAGAAGGCCAAAGAAGCCGGTAAGACTCACCGTGGTGAGACTCAACCATTGGAGGGTCAAACCTCGTCTACAGTTTGTGTTCTGATCTAAATGATGGTGGAGTAGTGCTGAGGTTAAATGTTTGTCTACAGGTATCACCATGTATGCGGTGGGTGTTGGAAAAGCTGTGGAAGATGAACTTCGTGAGATTGCGTCTGAGCCTGTGGAGAAACATTTCTATTACACCACCGACTTCACCGCCATCAGCACCATCGCTGAGAACCTCAAACTCAATGTCTGCCCAGGTACAAAACTCTTTACTTTACTTTACTCAAAGTACACAACATGTGAAAGATAATGTCATCTCTTATTTGTGTGTGTGTGATTGATATTCAGTAAATGGACTGACAGGGCTTTCTGGTTTACCGACCACTCAAAGTGCTTTACAGTTTTACTTATCACATTCAACCATTCACACACACATCCATACACCGATGGCAGAGGCTGCCATGCAAGACGCCAACTGCTCATTAAGAGAAATACAGCGCCCCCTGTCTCAAACTGAGGGGTTAAAGTTATAGTAGGTTAAATAAATGATAACAACAAATGATTTATGCAGGGAATGTAAACAAACAACAAATTGCAGATGCTATTGTGCTGAAATTCAACGTGTTTTTTATTAATTACTTCTCCTATCATTGTTGATATGATTGACAAAAATTGTGTTGAGGCCTAAAAGTTTGAGAACTACTCACAATGATACTAAGCTCACCCACCCACACACACACACACACACACACACACAGACACACACACAACTACGGCCAAGGAATCAAACCAGACACCCTCTGATTACTAGACAACCTGTTCTACTGTTTCAGCCATTGCTGCCCTAAAATACAATTTTCACTTCTTCTACAGGCCATTAACATCAGTTTGAGTGCCCCAATAGTCTTATACAATATATTCATTCCTACAGTTCATCACTAATTCATTAAAGTTGTACCAGCTGACCTTACTGTTTTTAAATGGTGGCTGGTCATTATCTTATCTTATGTGTTTATAATGGAAATAAAACATAATTCTGCACAGTGGAGTACTTTCACCTTTGTGCAATTTTAAACTTTTTACTTCACTACATCTCATATGAATATTATTGTAAAATATATAGACTGTATATGATGGCTGAAGATACTTATTAGTGTACAGATACAGATTTTGCATATATGAAAAATATTGATCATAATGCACCAGACTGTGCAGGCAGATGGTACAGCCTACAGGGGGCTGTTCAGCTGCAATTCTTTTGTTTGACTTGTTTTAATTCATTTTATTTCAGTGTCATAAACAAAATAAAGACATCTCAAAAGAATTGTTAATGATTGTAATGTTTTGAGATATTTAGGATTGTGTTCAACATAAAGTAAAGTGCTAGAGATGAGATTAACATGATCTCAGGCCCAGTGTCTGCTCGCAGTCACTGAAATCATGTCTTGGTCTTTGGTGCCATCTACTGGCAGCTGCAGACAATTTAAAGCAATAACAATATAATACCACCAAATATACCAAATGTAATACCAAAAACATAATAATACAGTATCCAACATAAACAACAGAAAGTAGTTTAGTTTAGTAGTAATTAAGAGTTTTAACTTATTGTTTGAAGTATTTAGGTGGTCCTAAAACAAAATCATTTGTAGACTGTTGAATAGAAGTTTAAACTGCAGTTTTAACTTCCACCTGCATGAAGTATAAATAATTCATTGAAGATGTTGCACTGATGTTCTCTGTAACTTTACTTCCTTTCGCTCTCTGTGCCCTTTCAGAGGAGAGTCAGGGGGAGATCGAGGTGAAGGACCCATGTGCCTGTGAGAGTCTGGTGGAGTTCCAGCAGGCCACCATGAGCAGCCTGGAGCAGCTCACACAGAAACATATCCTTTAAAAACTATATATATATATATATCTTCATCAAATCATATTGTGATTATTTTACTTCATATTACAAGACATGATTCACAGTTAAGTGTAAATCAGTTTTGCATCACATTTGTTTTCATTTTCACTGAAAAAACTATTATTTATATTATTATTTATTCATATAAAAGTATTTATGAGCAGACTTGCACTAAATATCTGTATCTGTATTATTCCTTAATCAACTGTCTACTGGCTGGTATGACTGCTCGTCTGGAGCAGCTGGAGAACCAGCTTCTCTCCAGGAAGTGATCTGATCATCACAGTGAGCGAACAGGACACCACAGAGGAAGAGTAGCAGGCTGAGGAAGAGGAGGGCACATCCTGACACCATCATTAAAAGGGGAAATCAGAAACCCTTTCAATCAATGGGCAGAACCAAAGTGTCTTTTCTCGAAGCCTTTGTAGCCTTCAGTAGGTCTGTCGCTCTTCACGTGAGGATGATGTTTTTATCTGAAAGCTTGTGATATAGAATCGTATTTCTGGTATCGATGTAAATGACATAATTTGTACACTTTTTTGTCTAAAAACAAAAACACACATGACAGCACCACACCCACTTTCCCACCTATCACTGAGCAGCAAATGTTTTTTATGAAACAGAAGGATATTGCATTTCCAAGATTCCCCAGGACATCTGTTAACCCTGGGAATCCGTGTGTACAAGCAAACAAACAAACAGACAAACAGCATTGACCCTTCCTAAGTCCCGCCCCTTTTGTAACCTCAGTCAGCTTCCTCCTTTCCTGTACTTCGATATACTATGCTACGTGCTAGGTGTTCTTTGCTGAAAAGACATGCTGACACATTTCAAAGAAGGTTAAAGGATAAAAGACATACGTCGCTAACTAGATGAGTTTTGCTATCATTAGCTAAGTAGCTTTTAGGGGATGACGTGCAGCAAAAGTGCCACAGTTCAGACTTGATCTAAGCACAGGAAAGGAGGAAGGTGACAGAGGGTCTGACAGTGATTGGAGCGCAGAGCGTAAAGGGGGCAGGGCTTAGGAAGAGTCAACACTTCATCTGTGCAGCACAACGGGGACTGTAGGCATGTTGGCTATCTTTGTAAACTAGATAATCAGTGTACTGTATTAGATATGATTTAGTGAACATGATCACACGCAGTTCATTCACAGTCACGCTCCATTCAGCTGTTTCTCTTAGTGCTGTTTATACTTGATCTGTTTTGTGCGGTTTGTTAAATATGATGTATTTATAGCAGATTGTTTTTGTTTTTTAAGTACCACAGTAGAATAGCAAATTAAAATAAAAAGTGTTATTACCACTCCCAATATTAAATTGGCCATTTTCATACAAAATCATTACTTGTTTGCTTATAGAAACTAGTTTTGACCACAGAACAAACTGGCTTTGCAGTGTGACGACTGTTGAAGAGGAAAGTGGTTTAAATAAAAAAAAAGGGAAGTTAGAAGTTTAAAGGCACTGTTCACTAAAGCTGTGGTCTGTTGTTTATAAAGAAAAATGTGATCAATTGGTTTTTGTAAATCACATTTGTTCTTCACTGTGCACTTTCTAGATTTTGTCTCACAGTGCTCTTAACATGTATTAGTATTAGTGTACATACAAGTTAAAATAACACATCACATTTCTGGCAGCAAATCCCTCCATAACCCTAAAGTGATCAGTTATCATCAGCCTGACCTGACCAGTCGGTCGTAATCTCGTCACATTAGCCTAACGGAGAATGAGAGGCCTCACAGGGTACTGAGTGTAAATGAATGACCACCTTAACTATGGTAGTTTGCCTCATTCTTGTAGTTTTGTATAAAAAGAAATACCACCACCAATGTATGCCCCTTTATATTTGAATGCCTGTATGTTTTTGTATATTTTCTAATAGCTTTACCTTTTTGTATTTTTCTGATGAGTCCCTGTATCACAGAAGCCAATAAAAGAGTGAACTTTTCACTTGTTTCATCTTTTACTTCACAGTTTCTTAAGGCCTTGTGTTACTGGCCAGTCCACAGATGGTTTAGAAATGAGAGGGCGCACTGAAGGATCATTTTCTCTATCTGTCACATGGGCTCCCCTTTAGGAGACTACTGGCAGGTCCTGAGTCTCCACTGGGAAAAGTAACCCAAATATTATCTATTATGTTATTTATCTTGGATATTTTAATACATACTACAGCACTTTTTACAAAATATTATAGGAAAACATTAAAGAGAGCTGACATTCAGATTCGGTGTTAATAAAACTGAGCTGTTCTGCTGTCAAACTGATATAAATTAATGCTACTATAACTTCTGTGCAGCTGTAATATGAAAAAATCCACAACAAGGTAACACTTGGCTATGGTTTGTAATGGTTTAATAAAGTTTAAATAGGAACAACAATATAACTTGGTCCAAATTACATGGAAAATGGCTCAGTTAATGCCCAAAGATTTATTCATTATTAGAAACATTTTTCAAATGTTGAATTAGGTTTTTGCCTGAAAACAACACAGCCGACTAAATAACTTTTAAAAGTTAGTCTAGTCTTGAAAAGCACCAATTTAACACTGTCTCTAAATATTATTTGGAAATAATGGTCCCCTTTAAATCAAAAGTACTCAAAAACATATATTGGATTGGATTTACAAGAATCACAAGACCATGAGCAAAACATATCCTTAGTTTAAAAAAAAATATCTACATAAGCTGCTTATACCACAATGAGGGTGAGATGAGTGTCCAAGATTTCATATTTTTGTTGAAAGAGAGGGTTTAAAAAAGAGGTGATCAACTGTAAGGAACTCAAACTTAACTTTTCTTTGTGAGACTTTTAAAGTTGAGAATCTCTTCACAAAGAAAGGTGATCGGCACCCTGATGACAAAGGTTTGCTCTCAGTAGGTCAACAATAAGTTTTGTTTTTGAAAGCCTAAACAGACATGTGAGTGCAAGAGAGTGGAAGCTAATTCCTGGTGGACTGTCATTTGCTGTGTTTAAAGAGCAGCTCCGTGGGGATCAGTTACTGCTTTCAAACAAAGAGCGTCATTACTAACAGTGACCTTATGCACATTTCCTCAGTAGACTCTGACGCAAGACGTGTTTGTTACAGAGTTTTCTTTCTTTCCTTCTTTCAACAAACATGAAGTATCACAATATTTCTACTACTACTACTAAAATGATTTGTTAATTTGGCTGAAATGAAAAATGTATTTCATTACGATTAATCTGCTGACACATTTTTGGGAGGTACCGATCAGGTACCAGATCGCTATTGATGTTAGCCACAACACAACTGGTCCAAACCCAAATACACTTTCTTTGTCATCATAAAGGTTCAGATTTCAGTTAGATGCATTCAGTCACAAGAGCCCGACTCAGTTTTTAGTGCCACAACAATCTCTAGCTTGATGTTATTTTCCATTGAAAGGATCCCAGTGAGCTGCACACAGTGACGAATACAGATTACACATCAGTCGAAACACTGGTACAGTATTGGATCAATACTATTGGCAGACACCTTGAGTTTAGGTTTTGGGGTTAGTACCAGGAAAGAAAAAGCTGAATTTGCGCATCCGCAATTAGCTCCTCGATTAATTGTGTGATCTATAAAATGGCACAACGTAGTACAAAACTACCCACTCTAATTTATGAGAGTTTAAGATGATACCGGGAGGCCAAAACCAGAGATATTCAGTTTACAATCTGAGAAGAGAATTCCTATTTCAGACTCACAGACAGAAACTGTAACCAGTGAGTTTTTGGCCATTTTTAAAAATTATATAATGGTATAAAATGGTTTTCTAGCTTAGGGGAACCGTTGTTTGTTGTGACAATGGTGACCATTAGGTGAACTGTAGACAGCGTCATGTTGCTCGTGCTTTGTACACAGTCCATAGACGTGAGCGAGCATCATCCTGGGCTTTGGCCAAAAGTGACAAACACTAGACTGAACGCTGGGAAATAAATTACAATCATATTCAAAAAGACGTTACCACCCGCAGTGTTCCTATATTTCATTTGGACCACTGACTCCATGCCACTCACTAGCTCAGCGTTTACAAATCACCCCATGCTGAATAACTTTATCCAAAAATGACTTTTTATCGACTGATTAATTGAATGTTAATGATAGATGAGTTCACAGGTTATTTGAAATTCATTCAATAGTAAGTTTGATAAATTTAAGATGAAAGCAGAAGACTGAATTTGTAATAAACACAGATCTTTTCTTGTGACTTCATTGGTATGAAATGATGCAACAACAACATCATTGTAAAGTTCACCACAAACAAACTTTGAATTGCTCTAAAGGCAAGTTTCTGTTAATTGTTTTCATAATGAAAGTTCATAAAAGAGCAAACAAGTTAGACGAGAGGAACAAAGCTCCTTGTGGATTACCGGCTGTCCACAGAGGATATTTTTTAAACAACCTTGTTAATTTCAGTGAACTTAATCATCTGTTCTCCACTGAGTATGCTGCAACTTGTTTTTCATTAACTAAAAAGGACATTTAAAATATCACAAGCTATTAGACTAATTGCAGAATCATTTAATGACAATGATGAAAAACTCTCTCAGAAGACATATCTAATAAATCCCTTTGATGCTGTGTGCTCGCACTGCATGCTGGATGCTACATAACAAGCCACCCCAGTGTGTGTGACCTTTACTGATGGGCCCTAATGAGTGTTGATGAGACGGTTGCTCGTTCTGTGTCCTGCAGCATGACTCACTTCCTGAATACACTGAGGATTAGTGAAAATGTCAGGAGGTCCCAAAAGTCCTTCCTGTGGAACGTGCAACAAAGTCCTGCCTACAGTAAATTTACTCAAGCAAGTGCAATGTTGGAGGAAGTGTGGGGCCGGACTGTTAAACCGAGGAAGTTACAATATGTGTTTTTTAACAGAAAAAAAGTTCCAGGAAGTAATGCACTGAGTGATGCAGTAACATTACAACGCCTACGTTATAATTGCACAATGTCAGCTGTCAAACATTTAACCACTGAAAAAGAAAAGATCACACAGTGGAGCAAAAGTACAAATCACACATTTAATCTAATCAAAATCTAATCTAACAAAATTATATTCTGATAGATTTTAATTACCAGATTCAATTATAAGTTGGAAGTTTAGTTGTAGTGACGTTGAAGTCATGCGACCGTGGTGAAGTTCGTTTATAGCCTAACGCAGGGGTTCCCAAACTTTTTCATGTCAAGGATCCCCACAGTAGATGCACATTAGACCATGGACCTCCAATTTGAGAGGATTTTGTATTTTTAGGTTTGAAGATAATAAAGTCTTCAAAGTCAATCTTCACTAAAAATTACAATCAATCAAAATGGCCAAACTTATTTCCTCCCTTCTTGTTCCTCCCTTGTTGTATGATGATGGAATTTCCCACAAATCAAATGATAAGTGTGCTACTTTAAAAGACATTCTCTGACACCATAATGTTGAAGCTCATAGTTATTTTCCAAAAATATCCAAAAATAAATAAATATAAGATTAAAAATATAAAATTTGCCTATAATGATAGTGACAGCTGAAGAGTGACAGGAAAGTAAAGAAAGACAGACAGAGGGGATGACATGCAGCAAAGGGCCACAGGTCAGACTCGAACCCTTGGCTGCTGCATGGGGCACTAGCTCAGGATGCCCCTTGCTGTTGTTTTTCTAATGTTCGTGCATGGCTATTTGGCTGTGTGCTATTTGGCTGTGTGGCCGTGTCATTACAATTACATCAGCAAAGTGTTCTGGCAGGTTACACTGCGACGGTTACAGTGGCAATTTCAAAATATTGCTTTGTGGAACCTGGTTTGAAAGGTTTGTATTCCAACGCCCCAAAAACAGCCTGGTCACGTGAATAGAGGCCAATCCACAACAAAAGTTTAATGTTTATGCAAAAACCATTGTCATGTAAATTAGTTTAATGCCCTTAGTCTTGCAGGTATAAAGTGATGCTAACCTGATGATGGTGCCAAAGTTAGACGATCACAAACGGGATTACAATTCAATTCAATTAGAAATAATGTGTGTCTGTATCAAATATCTCAGTAATCTATCCAATGGTTTCACACGAAAAACAAATTTCACACAAAAATAAATAAATCATGGTGGTGTTAGAGGAAAGTCAGTAGGTTCCATCCTCTGGGTACCATAAATGTCATAGCAGTCCATTCAATGTTTAGGTTTTTCAGACTGGACTTCTACTTTGGACCAAATATTGGAATAAAACATCGACCAAAGATTGTGCATATTGTCCTTTGTTTATTTAAATGATACTTTGGTATAACAAGGTACTTTTTAAGTTCACTTTTGCAATTTTGTAGATTTACTCATTTACGTGAATACTAAAAACATACACACACACTCCTCCCATCTTTGGATGATTGCCAACCAAACCATATATAAAGTCTTAACTCTTTCTCTGGTCTAAATGCATTAACTGAGGTGAGTACTGTGCAGTCATGTGGTTTGCGATATGTCTCAGTAGAAATTATTATTGAACCAATAATGACGCTAACCTTTTTGTCCGTTAATTCATGTTACTTTGATAGCTTTGAACTTTATAGTGGCACAAATGATAGATAAACTGTATAAAACCTTGTTGTCTACAGAATGCAATAACAACATTTGGTTTCTTTTTTTTTTTTTCTGTTGCAGGACACTTTTTACTTTAAATTCTCTCATCCAGATTCCCAGAACACAATCTTGAGTCTACTGGACAAAGCAATAAAAAGACACAAGTTTGGTTCAAACCTCAAATATAAACATGACATCAATGCTAATTCAGCAAAAATGATTGATGACAAAACAGTTACAATAATGCTGTTTAAAGGACCTTAACTATCACAACTATATGCAACTAAATTGGTTTAGTAGTTCTTATGTTCTTTTTGATCCTACATGCTATATTTTAAATGCATTCACTTCAGTTTCAAATAACAACACACTTATTTTTATCTTTTAAATTGAGGCCCTGAACCTGAGCCAGAGGTGAGTGCTTCTTCTAGTTAGAAATGAATGTTCACAGCTTTTAGCTCACAACAACAGCTGCTTCTGACTTGGTTGTTTCAATTTGCACATTTATGATTAATACAGATTTGAATACTGTAGATAATAAAAACAAATAATTGTGGAAATTGTCATGATCCAGTTTAAGCATTGTATATCTTAGACTCACGGTTGGTGCCCTCTCACACACAAAACATAATGTACAATAATGTGAAGTGAGGCTCTTTTGGAATATAATGATTAAGAAGGTTAAGAAGCTTGAATTTTTAAACATTTAAAATACAATGGCAGTTTGTACATTAGGGATTACAAAATATATCATAAATATTACATTACATTTTCCTTATAACATTCAATAAGAAATTCAACTAAAATGTTTTCCTCAGTTTTGCTTTTATCATAATATTGTTTATAATATTAAAAAGATATAACAAATATCATAATCATTTTAATAATAGGTTTATAATGATATTTTCTGGGAAGTTCTGGTCTTAAATTTGAGGACTGCCTGTGTTACAAAACAGTGGATTGTCTCATCTGTGGGTCAATATCGCTGCTTCTTGTCCTCTTTAAATGTCGTCATTATTTACCATTATGTTTTCTCCTTTGTTAGATCTTCAGCTTTCAAGAGATGAACGTGTCATCTGCCAACATGACCGTGGTTATAGAGTATCGAGACTCCTTCACTAAAGCTGTGACCAAGAATGTGATTGTTCTGGTTCTCGGGATCTCCATCAACTACATCAATGCAGGCCTCATTCAGACTTTTCGCAAACACCAGGTATGATGTTCCTTTAATTATGTGCAAGCAGGTATAATACATTTACTAAAGAAATATGCTAGAAATAAATATTTTCATTAATTAAATCCTAATCCAAGTCGAATCCAATGCTTTAATGATGTAGCAGCAGAATACTGTATATTCAGTGTTGATTAAATATACAGCGATCAGCCATAACATAGTGAGCAGTGACAGGTGAAGTGAATAACAGTGATTATCAGGCAGAAAGTGAACATTTTGTCATTAAAGTTGATGTGTTAGAAGCAAGAAATATGTGCAGTGTGAGGATTTAAGCGACTTTGACAAGGGCCACACTGTGATGGCTAGAAGACTGGGTCTTGTGGGGTGTTCCTGGTCTGCAGGGGTCAGTACCTATCAAAAGTGGTCCAAGGAAGGAAAAGTGGTGAATCAGGGTCATGGGTGGTGAAG